GAACGCATGTCTGAAAAGCACAAATTTTTTTAAGTCAAATTTCACATGATGCAAATGTCAGTAATCGCAGTACAAACATTGAAGTTAAAGTTCCTCAGTCACGTCAAATGGCCAATATTAAATTGCGAAAATGTTTATTATACGTAGTTATATGCTGAATGTGAGCGAGTATCCCAAAGCAGCGACGTCGGTATACTGAAGCGTCGAGGCGCTTCGAGTACTGCAAGACGCTGCTATCCCGGTCGCCTACTGACCTAGGATTTTTGCTCTTGCTCAACTAAACCAAACGACGGCCCTGTTTAAAGCCAAATTTATATCTCGTAATATTCACAACCATTTTATAATAATCCACGCGGACATTCCTCACATGCGTTTTACGATTTTTTTATTTCCATCAATGAAAGATTTTTTATGGCCTTTTTTATTTAAATTGCGCCGAACGTCTAGACAAATTCATATTTTACACCTCCGCAAGTTAGACGATTCGCGTAACCTGTGTTGAACTACCACTAAGGAAACCTCCATAAAAAGAATACTGACACTTAAATATTTTTTGTGCAAATATGTCTGATCTGCTGCCAAATGAAGTGTAAAAGCGTACTAATCTTGATAATTTATTGCCAACCTTGGAGAGAGAATGATTTAAAGCCTTCCGTTATGCAGATTATGTTATAGCCAGCAATAATGGTTTCTTGATTTATTACGTCTTCTACAATGCATTTTTTTCTGTGTCAGTTACAAAACAATGGCCGCTTGAAGCGAGATCTACAAATTGAGTAAGTTTGGGTATGAGAAAGCGTTAGCAACCAGTTCCAAAAAGGCTTACAAGGAGGGAGTTTATCCAATTTACAATCAAGCACGAGACAGAGCACGTAAATTTCGTGTTTTTGTCATTCTACAAGAACATGTCGGAAACTTACTCAGTTTGATACTCATCTCAGTTCATAGAGCTACCAAATACTTGCTGACCCGGTTACGGTTAGATGCTTGCCAGTAGCAAGGAATACAATCAGTAGAACCAAAATACCTCATTCAGGAATGGAGACCAGCATTACTCATCCGCCGATTATATTTTCATGCGTTCAGGTTAATACTAGAAAGTTAAAAATGCAATTATTCTTTCTTTCGCTGCTTTATTGTGTCAGTCAGACATTCGCCTACAAAAATAAAAATTTGGACGACTTAAAGTTGAAACGATACCACCTCAAGTTATTCAAGGGATTTCTACGTTCCGCGTATTGGTGTGTGAAATCAAAATCAAAGGGTGTCAATATGTCACTGGCAACGATTATTTTATGGGTGTAGTAAAATTTTGCGTTAGACCTTTTTCAGCACAGAAAACGTATAAATTAGAAATAATAGGTATAGGTATCATCCCTTTCTATCGCTTATTCACATTTAATGCAGGATTTAGCGATTCATGATAATAAACCATTAAATTGTATTGACCAACCCCATATCCACCAACAGCGGACGAACAATATCTGATCAGAAAAATAACATTCGCCCTAGTAGTATAGTAAGGCCGATCCTGGCTCACTTTACATTGAAAAGTGCCATATGATTGAAGTGTTAGCGTTTCAAGGTCAAAGTGGTGTTGAAGGTCAAAGTGGTATTGCGTAAGTGGGGGTGGGTGGGTTTCAAGGTCGAGTGTTGAGAAGAAATGGGTGTATTGTTTTTCGGAGGGGGTGATGGGTGAAGGCCATTGGATTTCAAGGTCGAGTTGTGAGAACAAAGGGGTGTATTGTTTGTGTGGAGGGGGGGTGGCGGCGGCTCAAGGCCGTTGGATTTCAAGGTCGATCGCTGAGAACAAAGGGAGGTTGTGTATGTTGTTTGTGTGTAATCAAATTGTTTGTGTTTTTCTGGGGGGCCGCCTCAAGGTCAAACGTGTTGCAATTTAAATATAGATATTAGAAGATGTTAGCTTGAAATGTGGTTAGTGTTAAGGGGGAATATGCGGCGAACGGCTGTTGAATGCCTTCATCAAACCTTATTGGTATTGCTATCTGATGCTGAGCATGAGGCGGTCTATGGACCTGAGACTTTTAGGGAACAGTGTCAAAACATTGTCCAAACGTATGAGTTGGGGATTGAACTATGTAGACTCTTTTTAAATTACAAAATATGCGTTGATTGCCTTATAAACGGACTGAACGAGACTCAGTTGGGTGAATACATAATATGGTGATGAAGAAAGTTACATTTGACGATAGTAACAATCGCGTGTATGTACTGATCGCGTGGTCCTTTGCATATAGTGCGGCACGAAAAGGGCCTTGGGAAACTATGGCCTTGGATAGATTTCGCTTTAGTACAAAAATAGAGCAATTTTGTAAGATATTGTCTCCCGTCTTAGCAGAAAATCATCGTTTATCAGTTTATCTGACTAGATTTCAAGGTCACCAGAACTCAATGTAATGGTATATCGCACTAGATTTCAAGGTCACCAGACAGTAATGTTTATCGCATTAAATTTCAAGGTCAACAGACAGCAATATAATGGTGGTAGAAACGGTGAATGGAATCAGTCGAATAGTGTTCGCTAATCAGTTAAAATGGATCTTAATCAACTCAACAGTAGCACCTACTGCAAACCTTTCAAGAACGTCAAGGATATGAAGGTCGGTGAAAAGTATAAAGTGATTGGTATCGACCTAATCAATACCAAATATGGCGATCGAATACTGATCGATACTGAGAACTTTAAGTGCATCCTTCCTTTGCGCTTTTATGACTACTTCAAGAGCGACAACCGTCTGCAGATCTTCAAGGACACCTTGTCCAGGGAAGAAGTGTTTATAACAAGCGCCGGAACGGCGGGGAAGACTACTAATTTAACATTTATGTAAAAAAGTTGTAAATGAGATAGAGAGAAATAATAAAATGTTGTTGATGAGAGAGAGAAATTGTGTCTCTTATTTAAATGCATATCCACCCTTAGAAACACTTTAGTTGTTCTGTGATCGTGGGGTCGAGATCATCTCAACGAAAAAAAGCTCCAAAATGGATACAATCAGTTGTACTAATAATTATTTCTCGTGCTCGTGCTGGTGCTGTAATAACAACAAAGACACTAGTGATGATTCTATCACCCAGTTTGCCGAAAATGTGCATAGTAAAGCTGCCGACGAACGTTTAATCGATTGCTCATCATATGACCTCTACGATGGTGAAAGCAATTCGAAGAAATATATTGAAATTGGCTACAGTACGCATCTTAATTTGGCCCCAGTTTTACGAATTGTGCACTCTCCATTAAATGCGATAGTGATGGTGAAAGAAGATTGGGAAATGCTTCTAAAGCACCAAACATATCTCGAGATGAAGTTCTTTAGATCTCAAGAGCTCGAAAATTGGATCGACTGGTCCAATGTTAAGGAAGAAGATATTGAGCACGACAAAAGTTCTGAATCGCTTAACGCAAATTTTACTATTCATTATAACAGGAAATTTGTGCGGGATCCCACGACGACTGAGAAAATATTAGAGAGCGTAACAATACAACGTGATAAGCTGCATTATTGCACGATGAGTAAGTACGTCGTTGAAGAATTGTTTAATCTAAAAGATATAATCAACTATCGTTTGGATTTACTGGAATCGTACGCTCTGTCCTGTTTCTATCAGGATGTTATCGAACAGGTGATTAACTACCGTCATTTTCGTAAAATGGAGTTTGGTAACGAGGACGAGGGCGACGATGACAACATCTATCGCGATATTGAAGACGTATTAAACTATAAGTTTAACGTCAATTCTCATAATACAGTTTGCATGATGGAATTATTATACTATCGACCTACTTATTTTATGTATCACATATGTCAATAAACGTACTTTATTTGAGCATTTTTGTTTTATTTGATGGAAGTGATGAAGTGTACGGATGGGAGTGGCTTGGTTAATAATCTCATAAACAAACTTCCAGTGGAACTACATATTCCTGGCTATCAGTATTGCGGACCTGGTACTAAATTAGATAAAAGGCTAAAGCGAGGCGATCCCGGCATAAATGCCCTAGACGACATTTTTTTATAATAAACAGCTTTCAAAATAAACAGGCTGTTCCCCCTGTTTGTTTACCTATTCCCTTGATTGCATCATCATGGATACTAAAGAAATGGCCTTGAAACGACGAATAGTTTAAGCGTGTAAAGTATAATCGTCTCAAAGCGGATCGTTTTATTAAAGAAGTGGAGTTTGTACGAACGTATAAATCGCTAATTCAACCGCTATCCCAGATCGTTAAGTAAATCGAACCGCCGCGCCGTTAAGAGTCTTCTTTACCTAAGCGCAACTTTTTTTTACATTATAGTGTATAGATGATTATAGCTGCAAGAGATAAGATGATATTCTTGCTTTGTTAAGTCCTGTCTTGGTCCTTAGTTAGTTCCCACCGACACTGTGCAGCGGCGCCACTTGTTACACTCAAATTGTTGATTTAACGCCCGCCAAGATACAGACTTTATTTACAAAAATTATGACTTCATTTTTTGGGGTCATGTAACTTATCTAAAAAACTGTCGGTTTACTTTTTCCATAAATCGTCTTGATCGAGAGTAAAAAAATAAAACAGATTAGCGCAATAATCGGTGCGAAACATCTAATCTTTAAACAATCGGTATTCAGTTGGTATAAACTTAAAAAAAAATAGTCCGAACATTTTGTAGATAAAGGTCTAAATTTATAAAATAGTTCTTAAAAAAATTGTCTTTGAAAAACAACTATAGTTTTTATGGCGGGCGCTCTTATGGAAATTTACATTGGATGCAGTGGGTACAGAAGACTCTTAAGGTCATATCGATTTTGGCTCACTCAAAGCTTAATGCGTGCCGATACTGGCTCACTTTCAAGGCCATGCGGTGTTTGTCTGTCGAGCGGAGTTTGAGAACAAAGGGTGTATTGTTTTCGGGTGATCAAGGCGACTTAAGAATGGGTGTGGTTCAGATTAATATAAGTGTTTGTTGTAATGGGTCTTTGCTCAATAATTTATAATTCTATAATAGGCGAGATGTCAAGAGCCATTGTTCATCATCATCCACAGCAGCAGCAGCAGCAACGGAAAAAAAGAATTGACGAACTGTTACTGAAAATTAGAAAATTAAAGTGGGATGTTGAAATGCTGGGTTGTCAGCGCCGTATGAAAAAACTGATTTTGTAATGATTCATACAGTGGCAGTTAAGGCAAGGATTATTTCTTTGTGTGTGAGGCAATGGCATAAATACGACGACGATGGTTATTTCTTGTGTACCAATTAAGACAATTTGTATGTAAAGTTTGCGAATTAAAAGAATGTATAAAGGGTGCTTATTCATTTTCCCCCGACATCCATCCTTTAGAACCAGCCTCTTTAAAAAAATTTGGGGATTGGTGTTTAATGAACTCTCAATTTTAAAAACGAGTACACTGTACCTACCGTGAATAGACGTTCTGCATGGTATCGCGCATTTGGTAAAAATAGAAAATTATCAGCTCGCATTATGCCGACTTGCGTATGCACTCATTTCATTGCACAGTGATATTCGCCGATTCGCGATGTGTTGTGGAAAATAATTTTGGTGTTTCTTTGTGATAATGATTAATTCGGATTAGTATTTTCACTCGAACTCAGGTAGGTACGTAAATATTACATTTCCGTGAATGTTTGTGGCAGATAAACTAAATTAATTAATATCAACAATCTCATTAAATAATCCATGTATTTTCTACAAATTAGGTACATTACATTAATGTTTTACTTATTAATTACAAATGTGAAGTTAAATTTGAAAAGAAAAATTAATTATTTTTTAAAAATTCCATGTAACTTATAATAAATTTCATCTCTCGATGCAGGTTTTCATCTTGAACTCGTGATGCATCCAACTCCCGTTCTAAACGCTCCGTCTGGAGTTGGGAATTTCTTTGTCTGGCCTGGAAAGTTGTCAGCATCTTCTCCAGACACCCCATTGATAACATCGCCAGCTCTTGGGGTGTGGATGGCTCGCGCCATCTGGGCGATTCATGAGATGGCGGCGGTGGTGGTGGCGCCTCTTCTTGGTCGATGGCTGCTGAAGACGGCGGAGAGACGTTTTCATAAAATTCTCTTAGTAATTGCATATCTTTTTCCCCCCTAGGCAACGGGGCACTGTAACAATAAGAAAAACACAGTATTAAAAATAGATTGTATGTATAATAAAAGTAACTTACTGAAAGTGATTGTTGCCGCCGTTATTTACAGGTAGCTGTAGTGGTAAATTTGGTTGTTGTTGTTGTTGAGCTGGATTATTTCTGTAACGTAACATTAGAATAATTAGTATTTTTCATATAAACGGAGGTACAGTAATGAGTAAACTTACGGAAATTGATGCATGCCACCCCATCGAGGATTTGTGGATGTAAAGCTACCATTTTCTGGTGGCTGCGTTTGAGTATTTGCCTGGGGTAGCGGCGCAGGAATTATAATGTGCTCCAATATTTGTACTGATGGATACTGGCTGTAAAAACATATATGCATTAGAAATTTTATTTTTCGTGAACAATAATTTGTACCTTAACTGTTGTTGTTGTTGCTGTTGTTGTTGCTGGCCATGTCTGGGATCTATCACCGGTGGTCTCATGGGAGGTGGAGGAATCGTTGTAATTGGAGGAGCGTAAACATGATTGAAATTTCCCTCATATTCTTTTAGAAAATCTTCCAGTTCATTTGTGGTGGTGGTGGTGGTAGCTATTGTTCTATAAAAAAAATAAAATAATACCTACAACATTAGTATCTATATGGATGGTGGAGAGCGAGTACTAAATTATTATACAAGTTTACAACTTACCTTTCCCGATGTCCTTCTTCATCTTCCGTGACGAGGTTGATCACATCACCATCGGATAATTTTGTAGGTTTTTCTAAGGCGGTCTTTAAGATTGAGCGTCCACCACCCCCACAGGCATTTATGTAAGGCTTCTTACTCGTTGCACTTTTTTTTAAAGTCAACTTGTTGGCGCGTTTGGTTGAAGACATGACGATAACGTGCAGATTAACACTTGTGCCGCAAAATGTCTACCCCTAGGTATATATGTGGAGGTTTTTGTTGGAGTTAGCAAAAGAGTGATTCTGAAATAACATCAAGGACCGTTCTCACACACACACATCAACCATTGTCCTGACACCTGCACGCTTTCCAAGAAACGTACATTTCCATGGTGTTAGCAAATGATACCCGTGAAACACCTGCAACATTGAAGATTCCCAGAAGACGGCAGAGACCATTCACCTCAGTTTAACAATGATAATATTCATTAATGTACTGGGAAGATGAACTTTAAATGAGCTTTAATCCGTGAGATCTCATGACTTCTGTGCATCATTGACGTAGTATCTGTATATCGCATTTCGTCAATTTTGCATAACCCCTAACAAGAAGTGTGGGGTGTGAGTGTCTGGGACAAACGATTATCTATGTAGGATACGATAACGAATTTCCTGCCACTCTTGGAATTTGTCGCAGCACCGTGTTATGGGTAGGTATGATGGAAAATGGAATCTGATATTGTTCGACATATTTCAATAATCACTTCTAACAACAATTGAAAAATATCTCGATAAAAAAGGAGGGTGGTGGAATAGATGACATCGAGAAAAAGAGACACTAGGAAATATGTTGTATGGTGAATTACAATAATAAAAAGTAAAATATTTAAGTTTTTAGTTATTTATTTATTCAAATCGACACATCATAACCTTATAGAACAACATTATTTTTATCAATCCATGATTTCTCGTCCAGACCCAACCATTTCACGTCCGATATTATTGAGAGATTTGTTTATTACATTTTAGAAATAAAAAGAAGGTTCAAACGCGTCATCGTTTTGGCTCATAATGGGCAGGCGTATGATCACCAATTTTTTTTAAATTATATTTTAACCAAAACTCAATTTAAACCTGAGATGATTATGCGGGGGTCTAAAATTATTTCTATGTATATCGATAATGTCACATTTTTGGATTCCTTAAACTATATTCCAATGGCTCTATCGAAACTACCCAAAGCATTTGGTTTGAATGATAACTTTCAAAAGGGTTATTTCCCATATTATTTTAATACACTTGAAAATCAATGTTACACAGGACCTTATCCTGATATGCAGTACTATGGGCCAGATTCTATGATGGCAGACGATCGAGAAAAATTCATTCTTTGGTATAATGAAAACAAAGGCAACGCGTTTGATATGCAAAAAGAAATTGTCTCGTACTGTGAATCTGACGTAAATATTCTAACATTGGCTTGTTTAAAATTCAGAGATTCGTTAATTAAAGCGGAGAACGTATGCCCATTTTCAGAAGCTTGCACTATTGCCAGCTCGTGTAATAACCTGTTTCGTCGAAACTTTTGCAAACGGAAACAGATCCATTGTCTAGTAAACAGAGAAAGTTACTTCTCTAATGGTGACCGAAGGACATCGTCAGGTGTTATTGATTGATTATAGATTTCGAAGGACACAGAAGATCAAACGTATAACTGGTAAACAGGAAAACAGATAAACAGGTAAACACATGAACCGGTAAACAGATGAACAGGTAAACACATGAACAGGTAAACAGATAAACAGGTAAACACATGAACAGGTAAAACAGAATAAACAGGTCTTGTTTGAGACGATTATACTTTACACGCTTAAACTATTCGTCGTTTCAAGGCCATTTCTTTAGTATCCATGATGATGCAATCAAGGGAATAGGTAAACAAACAGGGGGAACAGCCTGTTTATTTTGAAAGCTGTTTATTATAAAAAAATGTCGTCTAGGGCATTTATGCCGGGATCGCCTCGCTTTAGCCTTTTATCTAATTTAGTACCAGGTCCGCAATACTGATAGCCAGGAATATGTAGTTCCACTGGAAGTTTGTTTATGAGATTATTAACCAAGCCACTCCCATCCGTACACTTCATCACTTCCATCAAATAAAACAAAAATGCTCAAATAAAGTACGTTTATTGACATATGTGATACATAAAATAAGTAGGTCGATAGTATAATAATTCCATCATGCAAACTGTATTGTGAGAATTGACGTTAAACTTATAGTTTAATACGTCTTCAATATCGCGATAGATGTTGTCATCGTCGCCCTCGTCCTCGTCACCAAACTCCATTTTACGAAAATGACGGTAGTTAATCACCTGTTCGATAACATCCTGATAGAAACAGGACAGAGCGTACGATTCCAGTAAATCCAAACGATAGTTGATTATATCTTTTAGATTAAACAATTCTTCAACGACGTACTTACTCATCGTGCAATAATGCAGCTTATCACGTTGTATTGTTACGCTCTCTAATATTTTCTCAGTCGTCGTGGGATCCCGCACAAATTTCCTGTTATAATGAATAGTAAAATTTGCGTTAAGCGATTCAGAACTTTTGTCGTGCTCAATATCTTCTTCCTTAACATTGGACCAGTCGATCCAATTTTCGAGCTCTTGAGATCTAAAGAACTTCATCTCGAGATATGTTTGGTGCTTTAGAAGCATTTCCCAATCTTCTTTCACCATCACTATCGCATTTAATGGAGAGTGCACAATTCGTAAAACTGGGGCCAAATTAAGATGCGTACTGTAGCCAATTTCAACATATTTCTTCGAATTGCTTTCACCATCGTAGAGGTCATATGATGAGCAATCGATTAAACGTTCGTCGGCAGCTTTACTATGCACATTTTCAGCAAACTGGGTGATAGAATCATCACTAGTGTCATTGTTGTTATTGTTGTTGTTACAGCACCAGCACGAGCACGAGAAATAATTATTAGTACAACTGATTGTATCCATTTTGGAGCTTTTTTTTTCGTTGAGATGATCTCGACCCCACGATCACAGAACAACTAAAGTATTTCTAAGAGTGGATATGCATTTAAATAAGAGACACAATTTCTCTCTCTCATCAACAACATTTATTATTTCTCTCTTTCTCATTTACAACTTTTTTTACATAAATGTTAAATTAGTAGTCTTCCTCGCCGTTCCAGCGCTTGTTATAAACACCCCTTCCCTGGACAAGGTGTCCTTGAAGATCTGCAAACGGTTGTCGCTCTTGAAGTACTCATAAAAGCGTAAAGGAAGGATGCACTTAAAGTTCTCAGTATCGATCAGTATTCGATCGCCATATTTGGTATTGAAATAAGAGACACAATTTCTCTCTCTCATCAACAACATTTATTATTTCTCTCTATCTCATTTACAACTTTTTTACATAAATGTTAAATTAGTAGTCTTCCCCGCCGTTCCAGCGCTTGTTATAAACACTTCTTCCCTGGACAAGGTGTCCTTGAAGATCTGCAGACGGTTGTCGCTCTTGAAGTAGTCATAAAAGCGCAAAGGAAGGATGCACTTAAAGTTCTCAGTATCGATCAGTATTCGATCGCCATATTTGGTATTGATTAGGTCGATACCAATCACTTTATACTTTTCACCGACCTTCATATCCTTGACGTTCTTGAAAGGTTTGCAGTAGGTGCTACTGTTGAGTTGATTAAGATCCATTTTAACTGATTAGCGAACACTATTCGACTGATTCCATTCACCGTTTCTACCACCATTATATTGCTGTCTGATGACCTTGAATTTTAATGCGATAAACATTACTGTCTGGTGACCTTGAAATCTAGTGCGATATACCATTACATTGAGTTCTGTTGACCTTGAAATCTAGTCCGATAAACTGATAAACGATGATTTTCTGCTAAGACGGGAGACAATATCTTACAAAATTGCTCTATTTTTCTACTAAAGCGAAATCTATCCAAGGCCATAGTTTCCCAAGGCCCTTTTCGTGCCGCACTATATGCAAAGGACCACGCGACCAGCACATACACGCGATTGTTACTATCGTCAAATGTAACTTTCTTCATCACCATATTATGTATTCACCCAACTGAGCCTCGTTCAGTCCGTTTATAAGGCAATCAACACATATTTTGTAATTTAAAAAGAGTCTACATAGTTCAATCCCCAACTCATACGTTTGGACAATGTTTTGACACTGTTCCCTAAAAGTCTCAGGTCCATAGACCGCCTCATGCTCAGCATCAGATAGCAATACCAATAAGGTTTGATGAAGGCATTCAACAGCCGTTCGCCGCATATTCCCCCTTAACACTAACCACATTTCAAGCTAACATCTTCTAATATCTATATTTAAATTGCAACACGTTTGACCTTGTACACGATCACTTCCGTGAATCGAATAATCCCGCAAGTGACCTTGAGGCGGCACCCCAGAAAAACACAAACAATTTGATCACACACAAACAACATACACAACCTCCCTTTGTTCTCAGCGATCGACCTTGAAATCCAATGGCCTTGAGCCGCCGCCACCCCCCCTCCACACAAACAATACCCCCCTTTGTTCTCACAACTCGACCTTGAAATCCAATGGCCTTCACCCATCACCCCCCCTCCGAAAAACACAAACAATACACCCCATTTCTTCTCAACACTCGACCTTGAAATCCAATGGCCTTCACCCATCACCCCCCCTCCGAAAAACACAAACAATACACCCCATTTCTTATCAACACTCGACCTTGAAACCCACCCACCCCCACTTACGCAATACCACTTTGACCTTCAACACCACTTTGACCTTGAAACGCTAACACTTCAATCATATGGCACTTTTCAATGTAAAGTGAGCCAGGATCGGCCTTACTATACTACTGTCGCATGGTCTATTCTTAGACGGAGGCATTATTCTCGAAGTTGGCGTTACACTGGACGAGTACTTTTTCGATTCCATCGTGCAAATATCATGTCCTCCGCATTATGATGACCAGTATTTACAATTTGAGCGTTGCGAATGGAAAGAAATATTCAATTTTAAAACTGAACACTTAATTAAACATATGGTGCAGTGTACGCCTAAAAGAAGGAGCAAGCATGAAATTTTTACCGAGTCCAAAATAATAATACTTGAAGCGGAAGAAGAAGAAGGTGTTAGATGTATTCGAATAAGCGAATCAGATAAATCTATACTATTTTCCAAGCAAGCAGTCGATATGATATTTAACGCTTCCGAAGTGATTACTCAAAAACTGAATGTCGTCAACCACTATGCAATGTATTGTCTTTATGATGACTTTACGCGTGAGGTATCAAAAATTCTACATACCGAAGGTGTTACTAGCGAAGAGAGCATTTTATCCAGAGCGAAAATCATATGTCAAAATCTCAAATTCTTAACATCGCTATGCAGTTGGAAGGAAAAGTATGATAATTTGCAAGACTTTACTCTTCTAACAGAAATTGTAAACATTCACCCTCGAAAATTTATAAATACGGTTGTTAGTAAAATTAGCATGTTAAAATAAATAATTTTATAGCGTAAAAAATGCTTTTTATTTATTCATACGTATCGATACACAACAACTTATTATCCACCTAATGCCGCATATACAATTCAATATGTTTATCAAACTTTAAAAGTTTAGCTAATACATTATATAATTGCTCCAATACGCCTTTATTAGCACAATGAATATTGAATAAGGATAGATCAATGTCGCCTGAGTGAATTACACGACCTGTATATTCACTATATTTATGAAATTTATTTCCGGTGATAAAGTATAGGTATCCATCCATGTATTTAAATATAGAAGTTATCTTAACCGGAATATCTGGAAAGGTTTCCGCATATATTAAGCGATTTTTAGGTCGATTACTACAATCATCCAAATCTAGCAGTTCATTTGTACCATGATAAATAAGCGTGCGTCCGGTATAGGTGTTAACTGCAGCATTCACTTTATGGCTGTTGGGAATTGTGAAGTGGCTATAAGGCTGAGGCCATCCTGGTAGCAGTTGCAGACTAGGGAATTGCACTATGTATATGCGACCGCCACTAAAGAAGACAACATCGCCGTTAGGCTTTTGATATACCGCTTCCAAACGTTTAAAAGATGCCGGAAGAAACGTTAACCACTCAAGCAGATTCTTGGCAGGTTCCACTTTGCTGCTGTTTAACGCCGATATCCAAACCCAATGTTCATAAAACATATAAAGTCGTTTGTTTAGAATCAAAAAGTGTTCGATTTGAATGGTACACAGGTCAGGTGGTTTAATGGTCTTGCGAGTAGTAGTCTTGAGAGTAGGTGTAGTTGTCTTAATACCCGTTGAAAGATGATAAGTTTTATTCTCTGGTGAAGGGGTGGCAGCAGCAGCAGCATCAATAGGATATAGTGCTCGGATTCCGGCTATATCATCCTCATGTAGCGTGTTCATATTTGAATTGTAATAAGGAAACATGAGTGCATTTTCATCGCTCGAATGGTGTAATCCGAGAGTATGACCTATTTCGTGTAAGACAACTTGGAAATAACTAGAATAACCGGGGGGAGGTGCATTTGCATCTGCTACATGCCAGCGTTCTTCCCAATCTATATGCATTTCAACAACATTCTGATCTCTGGAGGGAAAGTATGCATGGGCTAATATATTGCCCAATCCATCAAACTCGAATGCACATTGCGGATATGGTGGTGAAGCGAATTTATGCTTTCGGGTATGAAATGATATTAATATGTCTGGATTCCTTGAGCTATATCTGAATGTAAAATTTGTGTGGTTCGCCCAAACTTGAAATGCTTTATCCGTCATCTGTAAAATGTGCAGGTCATGCATATTGGAAATATAGTAAATCAAAGTCTGTTTTGTCCATTTATACCGATGAGTCATATACGCTGCTGGATCATCAATATTTCCGCATCTAGGTCGAGACATGAGTTGTAATGTTTCGGCATTTAATCTGCCATCACTAGGTAGTTTATAGAGTTCTTGAAATTCCTTTAAAGCGTTGACGGTGATATTTGTACGATTATCTTGAGTTGATTCACCTTCACCAGGCTCCTTTATATATCCATATTTGGTGAGATGACTATATGCCATATCGATTTCACGCTCACTGATTGTATCGCTCTCGTCGACATTATCCGCAGCAGCAGCAGCATTAGCACCAATACAGAAAAACCAGCTCAGTACGACAACTGCAGCTTGCATGATTGTAAAATCTATACTGATTCAAAAGTTTCTTTTGGAGGACTAATAAGGATGTGGTAGTGGGGGGATATATATTGAAATGAATTAAAAATTAGGCTATAAATACTTAATCTTCTGTCAACGACAGAATGGTGCAGACTGTAATCGATGTACAAGGATTTAAAACATCAAGAAACGTATTTATACCAAAAGAACTGGCAATTTATAATGGCAAGCAGGTTGCTCATTTTATGTTCAAGCCTCCATTTCCGTGGAATAGCTTATCTACCGATTTACAACGTCAAGCTACCTGGCTAATTCATAACCATCACGGAATTAAATGGGAGCACGGTCATACGCCATCCTACATGTTTCCAATTATACTTCGCCAGTTAATATCATCATCAGACCAAATATACGTTAAAGGAAAAGAAAAAGCCGATTTCATTCGAAAAACTCTATGGCAAAATGTCACCGAGGTGGAAGAAGAACCAGCTCTACCTAAATTAGAAGCATGTTGCTACTATCATGTACGATCACTTTGTTGTTGCGCTTTATCTAACGTTTATTATATTTATAATACGCATGTAATTCAGTAATTTTTTTTTAATAAAACAACCAAATTCAATCATTTTTACTTTATTGCAATTGATACATCTTAATACGATTACATAATATGGGTTCCAAAACAGCTGCAATGCGTTCTATTTTACATTTGAAGCGGTACCTATCTAATGCGACAGTTTCCCACTGGCCCTTTCTTGCTTCTCTGTGAGCATAGGACCAAACTCGCAAGATATAAATTTTACTTTTTGATTCGTCAATGCTGACACTCTTCATTTATATAAAGTTTAATTACACTTTTACGTGAACTATAATTAAGTTTTGCGTACGATGCCAGTGAACGGCTCATACTCGATTAATGCATCATGTAAAATAACGCAGTAAGCGATAGTTTCATTTGCAAATGCAGATGATGCTTCAACTTCCAGCTTCAAATCGATCACCACGTTATGGACGCTCTCGTTTTGACGGGTGCAATTGATAATGAAGATAGGCTGCTTTTCGAACTCTTTGTAGCTAAGAAGGGAGCTCTCCTGTGACGAGTCGTAATATTGATTACGAAAGTTTAAATATTCTTCGTAAGCATCCACATACTTGTTATCGGTAAAGACCAGATTTTGCTGCTCATACGGATATCTTCGGTTGTTAATGTTTGCTTTTATATTGGAAATGCTTAAATGGTTAAACTCGCTCGCATCTGCTTCTTTGTTATTTCGCTTCCTAGTTTGGAACGCAATCAGTAGCCATTGAGGCCGTTGAAACCCGGTGCTGCTTTTTACCGACCAAACCAACGATCTGGTGGTGGGTAAGGTTGGGTATACGTAAAGGTCGCGCGCATGAAACGCCACTTGTATCGGTGATTCTTGTTAATCCTCCCGTAGATCGACAACTTCATAGCATCGTTCGGAATTACGTACGGAACTTTCCATGTTACCTTCGTAAGATTAATCTTAACTTCAGTCTCGCCTTTATAGCAATCACTATCGTCCTTGGAACGAATTAATATCAGCTCTTGACGTATGTTGACTAGAGGCTTCCTGTATCCTTCGGCAAACCCGAGTACATGCTTTAGAGGTATGGAAGCGCAGAAAGCCGTCTTAGTGCTATTTAGTATCTGAGGAGACCCGGAAGGGCTCCAGCCTGCATGCGATAAGCATCTGCTTTGATCCGACGTGTATGAGCAAAACCCCTTGATGGTGCTGTTTATTCCGGGTAATCGAACAGTTTCTATCACCTGGTCGCCCAAAATAAATCTAATTTCGTCGAAGAGAAAGAGCGGCGCGTTGTTGGTGAAATCGTAAGCTTTATTTGCGGTAGTCGGATTCAGCGTTCCTTCTAAATATATAACGCTATCGTAGGTGGCCGTGATGAGATCCGCTTTCTGTATGACGAGATTGATCTCATCGGAGTTACCATAAGCGTTTGTCGTATAAGGATGGTATGTTCTGCGATCGGATTCGACGATCATGTCTTCATACTTTACGCCCGTGAATAGGTTTTTTAATGCTTCTTCCATCTTTTCTTAGTACTGTATAGCCGAGATATTGCAAAAACTGTACGTCGTCTTCGGTTAATGCGCCGTTAGCAATTGTTGCGTCGATGGCCGACGACGGATGACTAAATGAAGAACCTTGCTTACAGAAAATTTTAAGTCCCATATTTTTTCAGCTCCAATCGAATAGTTACTCTTTCTTCGCCGAAATCCACTAAATGACCGTCTTGATCGACTA